TTCTTACCAAGGCAACTTATAAAATGAGTCGTAAAAATTAACTTCTTCCAATATCAAGGCCGCCGAAAGGCATCGCCCCAGTATAATTGCTGTGGACTATAAATACTGGACGGCTGACCTCGCGGCCATTTAATGCGACGCTGACCTCGCGGCCATTTAATGCGACGGCTGACCTCGCGGCCATTTAATGTGACGCTGACCTCGCGGCCATTTAATGCGAGGGCGACCTCGCGGCCATTTATTGCGACGCTGACCTCAAGGTCATCCACTGCGACGGTGAACTCGAGACAATTTAATGTAACGGTGACTTCGCGGACATTTGATGCGATGATCTGAGCACGTCAAAACCTTACCTCTTTCATCCGTAAATCTGCAAAGGACCCAACAACACCAGGTGTTCTGGCGGTCCCCACAATATATGGTCACCAAGTCAGGTTCTCAATAATGCCAAGACGATAAATCCTCGCAAATACATGCAGCCATGGTGGGCAGTGTCTGTGCTACGTACGCCGAGGTTGAGCCATACACAGCTGCGTCAGGCTGCATGCCCAGCGCTCGGCCACGGCCAGTGCCCGGCCACGGCCAGCGCCCGGCCACGGCCAGCGCCCTCCAGCCAAGTTAATTTGAAAGCTGCCACATGCCGGCGTCGCTGACAGCTCGTTGCTTTGCTAATGGCGGTGCTGCCGGGTAATCCTCACTAAAATATGATATGTATTGTAAGTCAAAATAATGCATTCATTCTTTGTTCCAGGCTAATTTTGATAATCAATAAATGAGGTCGTGTAGGTGGTCACTGGCTGTGGATATTTCAGGAAATTAATCCCGGAAAATTATGCACTGAATGTGAGATTGTAATGTTTTTTCCTAAAAATGCTTTTTAAAATAATATTGTTGAATGGAAGCGGTTCTTGTTTTAAATGGAAAAGGATATAAACAATACGCTTGCTTATTATACCTACATTATTCAATCCCAATATTCCTGTTATTTATAAATGTCTTCTCGTTCATTAAAAGTTTCTTGCTATCTGTCAACTCCAGTAGGAGCTGATATATCTTTATATTAAGTCTTAATTGTTAATCTAATGAGATTAAAAGGCACCGTCCTTTATACGAGCTTTTTCTGCAAGGCCGGTGACAGAGAAATTAAAGTTTCCATGCAAAATAAAATTACCAGATGCCGCGCGCCAGGAAACAATGCCCCTATACTTAAATAAACTTGAACCAGTTTTATGATCCTTTATTGCTTCCAAGTAATTCAAAGTCTTTAGTAAATTCAGTTTCTCCCTAATTAATTTCTATTTTTATCGATGACCCTAAAATAGCTTTTGGAATATACAGACTAATAGTTTCACATTTGAATAAATCTTAATTTCGATAACATGTTCAGTTCAGCAACAAATTTTGATTAGAAAATTTCTCTTAAAAACGGCCATTAAATCTATTGGAAAGACGCTTTCTAAAGGGCGTAGCAGCAGCGGACGAACGTCTGCTAATTTGTGATAAATGATCAATCCACTTCCAAGACGTACACTAATGAGTTGCACTAATTGTGCAATATGTAAGCTAATGAGTAGATTTACAGACGAATAACTTAACAGTGTCTCAGTAATTAGTTGTTCAATTGAATGGTGTGATAAATAAGTATATATATTTTGTGTCACAAATTGAAGTATTGTAGTATCAAATATTTGATCAATGGAACATTCTTGCCTATTAGAATAATCGAGCTTAATTGGTAAATTGAGAACATAGCTTCCATATTTATATAGTACAAGAATCGGCGACAGGCCTATCCAGGCCTATTTATTTAATGCCGAAGATACTATACTATACTATACTATACTATACTATACTATACGTCATTAATTAATAAAACTCATTATTATAAAATTTATTTGTTATTTTTTAAACTGATTAATGAATTATTTTTCTCTGTTTAAGAATCTTAGCCCTGCTATCGAAAGCCATAAATAAACATTATATTTTGAAACTGCATTTCGTCCTTTTGTCGCCTGACATTAGAATTATATAGAGGTGGATCGAGTGCGTGCATGGTTACAATCCTCATGTCATATAGGGATATTACCCAGATTTCAATATTGAATTTTTTATGAAGATAATCCCACAGCATAAGCATGTCACATAAGTCTTGGAACTTCAAACAATTAATGGCTGCCTCCCATACTGCTACTCTCTTTTATGGGCAATAATATGACTTTGAATTGAATCTTGAGGCCTTCCTGGGAGTGCTGTCAATATTTGGCGTCCTCCCGAGCTGCTGTGATGTGATGTCAGTTCCTCTACGAAGCATTCGCACTTATCTGAAAAGTTTTGTTTACGGAATTTAGTTTATTATGTAAAAAATCAGAAGTATTCTAACTCGAACTCTATAGCTACTGAGAGTTATGAAGGATAATTTTGGTGCTGTTGCAGCAATGAGTTATTTTCTCAAACAGATTTTAGAGCTGCAAATTGGACAATATTCCGAGCTTTAGTCAAGGGGCAAGGACAATCCTGTCAGAGAGCAAATGAACGTTATTTTGGAAAAGTTTGGTGAATGGAACATGCATGAGTTAAGCTACAAGCTACGTTTTTAAGTTTTATCAGGTATTTTAGGCTATTAAGCGAAAAAATTTGTCGCTGACTTCTAATGGTTCGCTGACTGCCAGGTTGCCAAATCTTCGGCATCGAAATAAGGAAATTAAATTGAAATAAGGAAAGGGAAGGATCGTCATCGCATTTCAAAGAAGGGAAATTCAAATGGGAGGCTTTGTTTGGACAAGTGCACTTAGAAATCAACGAACTACAGACTATAGATTCGAGAATCAACAGAATGCATGTGTCCCAATAGACGAAATTTATAGTTTTTTCCCTGTTTATGTTATTATGTTTAATTGATAAAGTTCTATTGCTAATTTCCATCATCATAGATATATGTTATTTTGTAAGCTTGAAATTTGATTACAATTTTAAAAAAGTATAAAAATTTTCGAAGTAACTGTTATAATATGGAATTTAAAAGCAAATAAAACGCCAAGCAAATTCACCATATCGATATTGAAAACGTTTCGGAGTCCAGCTCCATCATCAGTTCACCAATCTACAAAATGAATACAATCATTTTATAACTCAAAATTCCAAGTCAGACATTGAAACCTAAAAAGACATAAAAACAAAACAACCTTAAATGGAAAACCAGTACTCGCGGATCACAGAGTCATAGGAGGCACGGAAAGATTAAAACTTAAAAAACACTAAAAAATAAAAGCCTAGCGATTCACAATTTCCTAGGCATGCTAAATTACTTGTGAGCGTGCGATTTAGCAGACTGATAATATAAGACTTCTTTTCATCCGTGGGATTTAATAGAAACGCTTAAAATACAGGATTTTATCAATTATTATAGGCACAACCGCGAAGTATGCTTCTAGTAATACTTCGCGCATATATAATATTTATATCTGGTTACATGCGGTGTAATGGGAGAGCTTAGTTAACTCAAATCGATTAATTAGCTACGATGAAAGAAATTATACTACTTAAATCTAAATTTCCGGAGATATACAACTTTCTGTTTATAATTTTACGAATAATGAAAAGGAAGGAGCCGTAACTAAACGAGTTGTAAATCGTGGTATGAATCGTCAAGCATTTCAAACACGATCATATATATCCAAATCCTAATTTTCACTTACTAATCTACATTTTTATGATTTACGGGAAAGTTATTTTACCTGTAATGTCTATGTTAATGCAGACACTCTTCTTTAACCCGAGGCGTCCACATAAGACGACACCAAATTGATGCGACCATTGTACGTCGTCAATTTGATGTGCATATCACACTCCAAATCATTGAGCTCGACACACGGCTTATATAGAAGCCGTTATTCATGCAGGCTACTCGACTTGCTTACAGGCTGCGACTAGAACTTCAGGGTCAACAAATTTCCCTCAAAATTAACGGTTAGTAACATCACAAAAAATAAATCAAGGAGTGAATATTGAAGCACAGGTCGACAAAATATCGGATTAGTACATAAAAACAGTTATGAACCTTAGATATCACCAAAAAACACGCGAGCTAGCACTATAGGTGGCTGACCAGCGTGAAGCCAATGTGTAGGGGAGTCGTCAGCAGCTCATCATCGCGTTTTTCTTATCTTACAAACTTCCAAGTACGTAAATCAAATGTTGACGACTAACTTGCGACAACCATGATTTGTCACGCTCTTAACATTTCGTGCTCTTCAGTACTATTAAGACGTCATTGCCGTCTTTTTGATACCCACTTTGAATTTGACAAGCTCACTTAAACAACAATCTTGCCCAGTGCAAAGGACTAGATTAAGCTATGAAAAATAGATGTTCAGACTTGAAATGCATAGCGCCATTTTGAACCCGTTGGAAGTCTAATAACTATTTCGTCAGTTTGGAAAATGTCCGGTCGAAGGACCTGTTATTAGATCTCCTGTTGACAAGTCACGAAAAGTACAGAATCGGCGACAGGCCATTCTGTAGCCTATTCTTCAACGCCGACCTATTCTTCAGGCCTATTCTTCAACGCCGACATCACTATGCTATGCTATCATTCTCATAAACTCATTCTTTTCCCCTTAATGTCAGGTTTGTAATGTAAACCATCGAGACCTCATCTTATTCATGTAGTGCGAGAAAACCGCATTAATAGAATAGGCCTTTCAATTTCCAGATCTCAATAATAAAAGTACTGAGCAACATTATTATCAAGGGAAAAAACTTTACTAATATAAAATGGCATTTAATAATTAGCAATGTCCTTAGTTCAATTTCTGCTTAGAGAAAAAAAAATAGACGACGAGTGAATGTCTAATACTGCTAATTTAAATAATACCATCAGTGCATGACTGCGGTTTACCATGCGTTGCTCTGAAATCATACCCGTTATGTATTGCTCGGAGACTAATATTGTTCATCATCTTCCGTTATTGCGGAATACACGGCAACATCTTGCTCAATTCGCTGTTTTCTGGATAAATTCTTATTGCATCATGGGACGTTACGGGAAGCAGTCGTGAATTGCCGTTCGCTTTGTTCAGATTTCCCTGCTGTTAAGGTAAGCGTTTGATAGATGACCCTTCGGCTTTTACGCTGTTCACTAGTTACTCAAGTTTTTAAATTACTATTTGTCACTGATATTTAGTTTTTCTTGAAACTAAATATGGTAATGGGCGGCATTGGCTAACTCGGTAAGTCAACCATTTAGGTAGGCTACTCTTCTGGCCACTGGTAAGACTGGGCTGGTGAGTGGTGACACTGTCAGTCTAGCACGTGTCACGGCGTCAATTTGACAAAAAAGTAGATATGTTTCAAGCTGGTAGCCTAGTAACTTAGTAAGACTAGAAACAGGTGAAATTAAGTTAATTAGGTAACCACAAGTCCACAACACCAAAACACAAGTAGGTTTTAACTACTTTTAAGACAGTTAAGTAGGTATGTCTAGGTACTGTGCACAGTGACTGCACCAAAAAATTTTTTCTTATGATTTTAATGAAAATTATGCAGCTGAAAAGACAAAAAAATTTAGAAAATTATATAAATATAAGTAGAATACATTCAATACAAATAAAAGTAAAATGGCTATTCATTGTTCCAATAATAAATTAGCTATGTTGCCAAAATCAATAAATTTTTGGCATTTTTTGGGGAAAAACTACCATTTATAGGTTTCCTATGAGCCAATTTCAAAGATTTTAGTACCATTAGAAAGCTCTTGTTGTAGGCTATCTAGGGCCTATTGAGTTGAAGGCGGCTGAGTCAGCCGCCTTTTTTTTTTTAAAAAGTTCCAGGCAACTAGAAACAGGTTTGCGGGTCATCAGAAATCAGCCTGGGCAATTGGTATGAACGTTACATCAGGCAACACAGTGAAGATCCCAAGATTGTTCATTGTGTGCGACTGTGCGTGACTCACGGATAAGCAAGATGAATCTACTGAAAGAAGAGCACACATTGTGCTTGGTAGAAGTTACAAGTTTGCTACTGAGTCCCAGTGTGGAATTCTGTATAGGTAATATATTCTCATGTCAATATAAGAAAACGTATCAAAATACCAACCCTACCACCGCATTACACCACCTTTCACTGCAATGAAAATTGACAAACTGAGCTCATTTGAAACAGCTCTGCTTCCGAAATCGCGCGTGGTTTGAAATCCAATCCCGTGTTGCCAATGACTAATCAAGTTAACTAGTCGTTTATCTGTAGGCTAGCGGACACATTTTTGCAATGAATATGTTCTAAAATAAAAAAAATCACATCCAGCTTCGTAAAAAATTCTCACGATTGGACAACACCCACAAAGTTTTCGATTTCACACAAAATTATGAGATAAACTTTGGCTCTTTCACTGCGTACATTCACATGGTGTTTTCTGTTTACTTCTCGCAAGGCGGTCACACACTTATGTTTTGGTTGTGTCTAGTTTGATTTCACAATAAATAGACTTGATTCACATTCCATTAGGAGATTTAAATGATTAAAAGTTTTTTTTAAATTATAAAAACCTATTTACACGTTCCAGATTTGAATTTTTTACCCTATTATGTTGAACTTATCTTGATAAATTCACTTCAAATTCTGAATGATTTCGTCTGCCATCCCGCGTTTTCGAACGTTTTGTGTCTTTTAGAAAATTTTCGTTGTTTAAATTTGCAGTAAGTCAGAAAATACCAGAAAAATACCAGATTTAGGCATATATACCAGATCTAAAATATTCATACCAGACACCTTTTGAAAATACCAGATTTGTGAAATCTGGTATAGAAATATAGGTACCATCTGGCAATGCTGGTTCAGCGTTACTTGAAATCATCTACAGACAATGTTGCCATTCCATTCAGATGAAAACTGTGTCTAAATCAGAACTGTGTCGGATGGCTCCGCGGCCCGCGCCGAGTGCTGCGCGGCGTGGAATCGATGACTGTGATTTGCACGAACGTCTGCGCGAAAAAATATAATTAGATTGATTTATGCGATAAATTTCCCCGTTTATATAAATCTTCCTGAGTGTGGATCCTATCCCTTTCCAGAATTCCAGCTGTGATTGATTGATAAGATTGTGATTTTAGCCTCTTTCAGCTTTCCAGCTGTGATTGGTTAATGGAATTGTAATGTTATTTTGCTTTCTAGCTGTGATTGGTTGATGGGAATGCTTTCAAGCTGTGATTGGTTGTGTCCATAAGCCCCGCCCCCAAATATGGTATATGTGCTACAGTACTGGTTAACTTAACTAAATACTTTACTTAAACTCAATCATTATGAACAAAGGGCCTGGAAAATTTTCAGAAAATCTATTAAATAAAATAAAAATAAAAAATATCTATCAAACAACATCCAAATTATTCTATAACAAACCTGATGTACTATACAATTGAAAGTTTGTCCACTTATGATCCATCTTTACATTTATATTCAGTAACATGGCAGAGCACTGTATCAAAAGAAAGCTTTTCACCTTGGGTGGAAAGCTTTTTCATAAGTGAACTTCCATTCTTAGAATTCCAGCCTGATCTAGGGCCTATTGAGTTGAAGGCGGCTGACCAGCCTGAGTCCAGTATGGAATTCCAGAGGGGTAATATATTAACTGGTAGGGTAAATGCAGGATATTCCAACGCATTAAGGACGTAACAAGAAATGAATGGCTATAAAAATATCACCGTATGTGCAACTCTAGTTCTGATTGCTTTACGTCACTCTCAAAACACCACAGTCCAGAGTGGAAATCTAAGATTAGAGGTTCACTTAAAAAAAAGCATTCCGCCTTGAAAAAAAAGTTCCAGGCAACTAGAAACAGGTTTGCGGGTCATCAGAAATCGGCCTGGGCAATTGGTATGAACGTTACGTCAGGCAACACAGTGAAGATCCCAAGATTGTTCATTGTGTGCGTCACTCACAGATAAGCAAGATGAATCTACTGAAAGAAGAGCACACATTGTGCTTGGTAGAAGTTACAAGGTTGCTACTGACACAAGTAGAGACTCGTCACTCACAGACATCACAGTCACCAATGAGCTAGGGAGATCTTGGGAAGGCTGCATAAGCGTTGCGCCCGGCATGATGCTGGGCGCAATTGTTTGAAATTCCAGAGGGGTAATATATTAACTGGTAAACATAGCAAATCAGAAAGCAGGACCCAAAAATCTGGAACGTCCAGCACACTTCCACTTTCAGTCCATCACATAGTGACAAAAGAGAACGTCTTTTTATTTTGGGGTCAACAAAGGTTTTCTGAACGAGAGTTAAGCCTATGTTCTTTCGCAAAAATTTTTGAACGTTAATTTTTAATGGCGATAGTCTTATCAACAACATTAAATAAAATAGATAATCTTATCACTTTCAACATTTTATCAGACCAAGAACAATTCTGATTACTGACATATGGAGGGCTGACGCACGTCAACTAATCTTCATCGAATGCGGCTTGAGAGAGGTTTAACACCTAGATACTCACCCGACCAGAGCACGATGTGCACTGAGACTGAATTGCTTACGCCCATGTACACACCATTAGCAGAGCTGCAGCTAGCCCTGCGGACAAGACATGCTGCACACGTACACATTCGCTTGCACGTACACGTTCGCTGTGCACGTACATGTTAGCCAGGTTTGAACTTCAAGTTTTGAAGGCTTTAGAATCAGTTAATTCTGAACATTTCTGAACAAGATTTACGACCTGCTTCTCTGAACGACAGAAAAATAACACAATTTCTCGCTCCAAGATCCAATGGAAAAAATTATCTGATAGAAAATTTCTTACCCTTCACGATGAGCTAAGAATTTTGGTGTTTTTCATAACTGTTATCGATAATTTTACAAAAACATAAACATTTTTTAGGTAAGAATTGTTTGCCTTAGGAGTCTGAGCCAGCACATTTTTGATTCTCTTGCTGTCTTGTAGCGTGGCAGTGAAGCTTCTGCATGATCTGCATAGAGACGCAAACAGTTTTAAAAAATGTCGTTTCAGAATTTTATTCACGGATTAATTTGAACGTTATATACATTGATTCAGCATAGAAACATACTCCAACTTCCAAGAATAGCTTAGGTATTCATTTAAGCATTACGGTATCTATAATATTGTCTATCCAAAAATATGCTGTTGAGCAAATTCGTTTTTTCAGCATATTATATAATGATAATGGGTTAACAGATTCATTACACACGGTCATCATAATTATCATATATTTACCATAATTTTTTATGCACAATTCTCATCATTTCTTTGTTCACAAACGCTCTATTTTTATCGTAATTGCTCATCCTTCATTGTTCACACGTTCTGCAGTGCCCCTAATTAACACATTCCCCGTTATTCCTTTACTCTCACATTCTCTGTTCCCTGACACACGGTCCAAGCTATTCCCTTACTCACATATTCTCCATTATGCCTTCAATCAAATATTCTCTCTTATTCCTTTACCCGCATATTCTCTGTTATGCCTTTAATAGAATATTCTCTGTTATTCCATTACCCGGATATTCTCTGTTATACCTTTAATCACATATTCTTTTGGTCTTTTCATAAATATTTTGCACTTATTCCTGTTGATTTCATTACTATACTAAATCTGGCTGCCTATTATACTAGTACTATACTATATTATCTGGCCGCCTATATACTTTTACATAGCAGGTCATATTTATTTAAATTTAAATGAATGACGTTAATTTGGCAGTCCAATTCATTTGTTCATAAGAATACGGTGGATACTCCATAATCGAAGAAAAATGGCACCAATGGTTGCGCGCATGCACATGAGGGCCTTGGAGAAAGTTTTTATATGTTGAGAACATGTAATGTCATTTGAGAATGTATTAAAAATAAAAGGCGATTAAAAAGTTTCAGTTATAGTCCACCCTCAACCAGCCTTGTATAGCTGACTGGAAGGCAGGTAGCAATGTTGCTGCCACGATGTTGGCACTCAGGGAGTTCCATATTCTGATGGCCGAGGTGGACGTCAGTCCTGCTGCGTGGGACCTGTAACTTCTGTTGGTGCCCCTTGTTGCGTGTGTGACTGATTGGCACAATCCTGAAGGAGGTTGGACAGCGACTAGGCA